AGATAGACGGACAGAGGAAGGGAGGGAGGTTGATTTCTAAAGGCAGCAAGAGAAAAAAAGGTTTGACCTACAAAGGAACCCTCACTAAGCAATCAGCAGATTTCTCAGCAGAAACCATACAGTTCAGGAGAGAGTGGGATGATATATTCAAAGTGCTACTACAGGAGAGAAGCAAGATCCAAACGCAGGTGCAGTTGATTCTAAACACTCCGTTCATCTCACTCTTTTTACAGCGTCCAATTCAATTACAGCCCCTGGTTAACTTCATAAAGGAGTTTCCTACTACTATGACATTTATGGTTTAAAAAGTGCCTATAAAGATTCCAGTTTTATTCCATGTATTAGGAACAAATTATAATTAAATTCTGTGAGGAGTGTACGTAGATGGGAGTGGTTAAAGTGGAATTATGCTGCTATATAAAATAAGCATATGGCCTTAAAATGGTCCAAACTACAACCCCCTCGCCCTTTAAAATAAGACTTGCTTTAAGGGGAATCTCTGTTGATCAGCACTGTCCTGGATAAGGGTCAGAAAATAAATGATCTGGACCGGCTTCTCATAATGAGAGGGGATAAGGAAGAAGATTCCTAGGAGCTCACGTAACCATCCACATTTCCTGGGCTTAGGAATTCTGAAGGACGTTTGTGGTTCTCATCATCTACCTCCTTGAGTGGCAGCACACCCAGTGATACGGCGCCTAGGAAACAGGAGGAGCTGACCAATGGCTGCCACTATTCCTGCTGTTGCAAAGGAGGAACTTTTAGAGCATCAGCACCACGCTGTGATTTTTCAGGGCCAAATCACAGTGAGGCAGGTACTTCAAGATGCACAGTATGGAAGTCTGATAACAAAGACCAGCTGTGGGCACACATCCAACGAGGGTATAATCGGTTAAAGGGGGACAAAGGAGGAAAATGGGAAGGCAATCACTCATATTCACCAAAAAAAAAAAGTTTAAATAACAGAAAGATGGAAGAAACAAAAAGAGAAAAAGCCAGTGTCACCAGAATGGAAAATGTATTAAATCTAACAATACTTTAATAAAAACCTATTAATTGAACTTTTCTTCATCTAGCCATTTAATACTAAGCAGAAAATCAGCTTCATGTCTAATATCATGACAAAGCCATACATGAATATTTGTACAAACTTACCTGATTATTGCAAACATGGAATTGAAGTTCTTACACTCTCGACAATGAAGTGCAATTTTAATAAAATGCTTAATAATCTTCATTCGTTTAAGCTGATTTGATTCAGTTAAAATCTCTGAGGCAACCCAGAATGTCTCTTGGTTTACAATGTCCTCAAAGTCTTTCAAGTGAGTATTTCCTGTTTTGGACTCTAACTTAAAAAGGTCATCAATGTATTCAGTGGGCTCAATATTCCGAAATAGATCAAAGTCCCTCATGGACAGCTGCGTGGCCAGCTCAATGGTGCTGAGCTGCAGCATGGAGAGCTGGCTTTCCTTAACCAGTTCTTGAGCATCTTCATCTGAACATAAGGTTTCTGTTTCCATGTTATTTTTTAAATAATACCTACAAGGAAAAAAATTGTTTTTTATAAGTGATTTCATATTTATAAGAGCACTCTCCTTCTTTATTATTGTCAAAATATCATTTTACTGTTAAGAACTCTGTGCCAAAAATGTTAGAAGACTATTCACTTACTGAAATGGAAAATTAAAATTTTAAATGAGGAAACTTTAAAGAAGTTGTTCTATTATTGTGTCNACAGGTTAAGCTCAATAAATACTTATTTTACTAAACAATGATAGTATCATGCGGGATTTAAAGGTATGGCAACAACTGCATATAAATTAAGAGGTGAGTAAATAAAATGTAAATGGTTTAAGTTCCTTGCATTGCCTGACACACAGAATAGTACTAATAATTAAAATAATTAATATCAACAAATATAAATACTATAACATGTAGTGAAGTTAGAAAAATAGTAGTGTATAGCTAGAAAGTTAATGGAGAAGGACAAATACCATACAAAAAAAAACAATTCAGGGAGACTGCAGATAAACATATAGCAAAAGATTGATAAATTAGGCTTTTAAACCTAAGAACTTGTTGTTCATCAAAAGAAACCTTAAGAGAGTCAAAACGCATGTCATTTTATACCAAGGATTTATAAAATATTTTTTAAAGCTTATTAAAGAAGAGACAACCTAATAAAAACTAAGCAAGAAACCAAATCGATAATTGACAAGAGGACAAATAAATATCTAAAAGGGTGCTCTTCCTCATTAGTAAAAGGGAAATGCAAATTTAAACCACACCACTATTGGGATGGGTTAAAAAAAAACCAAACAAACCAGAATTTATCAGGTATTGGTAAAGATGAGGAACAATGAGAACCCTAACCAGTGTTCCACTTTAGTAGATAATGCCAAAATGTTTTCTAAAGTTGATTATACAAATCAAATATCAGGATCCATAACTCCCACCCTAAATCATACAAAAGAAATGCATGTGCACCAAGAGATATGTGTAAGAATATTCATAGCACCATTATTCATAATAGGTGAACAGTGGAAACTATCAAATGCTCAACAAATGGATAAATCCATTGTATTGCATTCATGTATCAGAACACTAAATAGCTTTGAAAATGAAGTATAACCACACTAAAAACATGGAAAGATCTCACAAGTCTATTGTTGACCAAAATAAGCCAGAAATCAAACTAAACAAAAACATAAAAAGACAGACACACTCCGTGATTCTATTCATTTGAAGTTCAAGAACAGGTAAAAGTAAAGCAAAGGAACAGAGGTCAGCACAGTGGTTACGTTTGGGGAAGGGGATGAGGAAGGTAACTGGGGATAGGTAGGAGTGGGGCTCCTGGAAGGCTCACAGTGGTTTTTATTTTTGGCCTGGATGTTGGTTTCCCGGGTGTTTCTGTAAATTTATTACATTGTTTACCTGTTTTAGGCACTTTTCTGTATGTGTTGAGTAGTTTAATTTAAAAAAAAAGTTGAAAAAATATTACTAAACAAATATAATCAGTCTGATCTTAGTGTAAGTGAAGTTTATGTTTAAATGAAGATGGTAAACACCTAAATTCATTGTCAATAATATGGGTTTTGGATTCCTAAAATTTGCTGCATTTAACTGGGTAAAGCTTTAGTGACATATAATCATTTTAGTGATATATAATCATTAGGGTGAAAAGACATATTAAATATAACAAATCACAATTCTGTTGAATTAACTAAAGCTAAACGTGCTAATTTTCAAATAACTTCGAAATACCTTCATGTAGAAATGTCATATCTTTCTTGACAACGGGGAAGAGTGGAATAATTGGGGGCTGCATGCTCTGACTACTAAGGATATTTCTATACTTCGCCATGTTTCTAGATGGATCAAAAAGGTCTTGTAGATCTTGCAGGTGTTTCTCATACTTGCTTGGTAACTTTTCCCAAGTACCTCTGAGTCGTGCTACAGATGCCAGGTTCAAGCCACTGCCAAAGATAAGAAGAAAACCATTAAAAAGAGACCTGTGAAAGACAGGGAACTCAGGTCAGTAACATGCACACGCTAAGATTCTCTAATAAAGCTAAAATAAGCAGAGACATATTTCAATGTGTTCAAAAAGAGGAGAACCAAGGAGTAATAAATAAAAGCACTGCTTGATCTGAAAACAAGGAAACCTTCTTTCAGAGGAACTATTGGGTTGTCGAAAAAGTCATGACGCATTTTTCCAACGAAAAACATAGAAAAAATATGTCATGACTTTTCCGACAACCCAATATATTACTTGCCTATAGTTGTATACCTACCGCCTTTATTTTATAGTTTGCACATAAGTGATAAATAATAACTCCATAAAAGATATTTAACTTAAAAAACTTCAAGTATCACAATGTTCTTTGTTTTACTTAAAAATAACCTTAAGGAGACATTATCTGTTTGTGAGTGGCTTAAGTAATGCTGAGCACAAACGTTACATAATAATCGAGGCAGGTTCTGGGGCTGAGGCAGCCTTCCTTCTCTGAGATTTTGTCCCCTCACGTCTCTGATTGCAATACTTCCGTATCCTTACTTCAAATCATGTCCCCCGGGCCTCTGTGTATTCAATGTCTCCTTTTTACAGGATTTAAATCATGCTCAGATAGCCCTACCTTGAAAAAACATTCATGCCAATTAGGCTGCCACTCCTCCCCATCCCTGTATCTCTACACTACCAGCCCCAGTTCTGCAAAGCGGTAACTCACCCTGCAGGCAAAACAGCAATCCCCTGTTGGAACAACACAACAGTGTCCATAGGCTGATAGAATTAGGTGGGGCTGGACTCTGTTCTTTACCAGGGAGTGTCAGGGAAAGTAAGCTTAAAACAGTATACAGAGCAATGGAACATCTTGGTGAGGAGCCGTTTAACATGAGACAGGACAGAAGGGACCAACTCTGAGTTGGAAGCAGCCTAAAGCCACCATCTCCATTTTCTGGAAAGAAGTGAAGGGTAAAACAATTCCCACAAAGCTCAACTCCTGCTAGCCTGGAATACTGCCCTGGCTCCTCTCCCATGCGCACCTCCTGCACATCGTTGGTACAGAAAAGATCATGTCATTTAAAACAAGGAATGAACACAGGATCTAGAACAAGTTGCTGTAAGAAAAAAAAAAATTAAGGAACATACAGCAGAAAAATGTTGCCAACAATTAAATAAACACTGGGACTAATCAATGACCTAGCCATGATTTCAAATGAATTAGTAAAGTAAATAAAGAGCTTAATGCAGTGATATAAGAGCTTAGGGAAAATATGATAAGTTGATTAAAAAAATTAGGAAGGTTCAGGGAAAAAAAAGGAAGACAAAATAAAACTAACAGAGAAATGAAGGCCACAATGGAACCTATATAAACAAAAAAGGACAATGCTAAAACCTTGTGCAAATGACATGGAGGAAAGGATTAATAAAAGCAATCAATAGAAATGGACAGAGCTGAAGAGGACGAGAAACAAAATAATAGGGAAGACAAAGGAGATCTAAAATCTGCATAATTGGTATCCTTGAAGTAAGCAAAAATAATGGAACTCAAAAAATATTCAAAGGCAAAATGTGAGAAAACTTTCCAGAAACAAAAGAACTGAATCTACAGACTGAATAGGTACCATATTTCCAGGGAACCTGATACAAAACTAAATTTAAAAAGACGTAGAAACATCCATGTAAAGATAAATGACTTCAGAGATAAATAA